AACCACCCAACCACCCACCCAACCACCCAACCACCCAACCACCCAACCAACCCACCCATCAAACAACCAAACCGCTCACCTAACCACCTAACCAACCAAGCAACCAGCCACACAACCACCAATCCATCTGCTCAACCACCCAACCAACCACCTGACCCAACCACCCAACCACCCAACTAACCAACCAACGTACTACTGTTCGTAATTATTATTATTATTATTATTTTTTTTGCAGCCGCGAGACTCGACTCATTGTGTCCGTCGCTTATCGTACGCATTGTGTTGCCGTCATCTTTCGCAGTGCCGTCGGCCAGCCATTGAGACAGTTCATAATTGCCAGGTTCACTTATTCAACCTTGCGACACAACATGGCCGACGTAGTTGTTGTTGTGAAAGAGGTTGTGGATGGAAAGGAAATCGTCGTGAGAGAGACAGTGTGTGAGCGCGATACTGAAAAGGAAAGAGACTTTGAATACTGGGAAGGGGTTGTCGCCACGAAAACACGTGTGTACTACGCGTTCATCGATGACACCCTCGCTTTAAGGGTCGTGGCGAAGCTAGGGTACGACGACCTTGATTGCCTTGATGAGGTTGTAATGCATGCAAAAAAGCTTTCGGATGTTGTTCCCGACGCCTGTGAACCCCCCGACTTCAATATAATTGGTCATTTGCTAAGGTGCATCGTGTCAGTCGTTGCGGTCGAGCATGTGGAAAGGTTAGTACGCAACGCATGATATTTCTCCAAACTCGACTGGCCGCTGCAATGCCGTAGCTTTCTCCACGGAGATGTGCGCAGTGTGATGCCAAAGGACGGTTGCGGACAACAGTGCGAAAGTGCCAACGAACCATCATCCCGTTCGTCTCATGTGTGGTCTGAAACAGGTGGGTTGACGAACAAAATCGTAAAGGTTTTCAAAATTCGACAGCGTTCAAGATTGCGACTACCCACTCATCCCATATATATGTATACAGGGCGATCCCCCTCCCCGTACGGTACATGCAGAATATCATGTTCGTGTTATTCGTTACTCGATCGTTGGATTCATAACTTATGAACTTGGTTTCTGTGAATTGCAACATTTTTCAAACGCCGTACGTAAGAAGCGACGATGCATTGCGCGCCAATGATTTTTCGATGTTACCACACCACAAAACTGACAAGCGGCGACACCGTATACTATTACGAATCAATGACTCCCGTAATAGATCCTGTCAACGATGCAGTGGGATACCGCAATGGAAACAAGAAGGTGGTTCGTCATTTCGTTGTCAGCGTCGAGGAGGAACGAGTCGTCAGGCTCAATATAGAGACTTATATTCGTGACCGCGCCATCGAACACGTTCGTGTCCTAATGTCTAAGCCGACCACGTACTTCAGCACCTTTGTTCTCAAACCGGTCGACGGTGATTTGATGTATGATATCATCTTTCCCCTTGTGCATCGCATGCTATACACACCCTACGGGACAGTCGCTCGGGACGGCGTCTGGCGCCTGGTCGTATCACCGCCCTATTTTGTCTCCGATGGCGATGATTTCTCTGCCATGTTTTATCCTTGCAGTGCGATCCAGCGATGAGTACCATTCGTTTTTTTTTTTTCCTTATGTTTCTTCATTGTTGAAGAGAGACAAAATGATGGTTTCAAATATTGAACATTTTATGTATACATATGCAATCGTCATCTCCCATGTGTTTGTTATATGTTTTGAGTTTTTTTTTATTCGCCTGCTTTGCGTTGTGAAATTTGTTTTCGTTTTCGTTATGTGGAGGTTCAATACTAAGGTCATCGGTGCCCGTGATGTTGTGTTTTGTAGATTTCTAAAAATTAACATATAAGCGACATAACAATATTCACCCATTCCCATACATAGACCGCCGACGACGCAGGGCTGGTGTGCGGGCCGACGCAGTCGTGTTTGGAAATGAGACAGATACAAATCCTTTCCGCGACGAGGAGTTGACAGTCGTCGAGATTAGGAGTCGGTGGCCTGGACCCGCAACGCTTTTGGAGGAGGCTGTTAATTTTGCAGGGTTGGACGAGCATCTGCAACAGTGCATGAATTTGCTTATTGGTCGTGCAAGTCTCGAACCAAAGCAGAATCGTTACAATGGATATGTCGCTTTTTCTCGGTTGTGCGTGTTCGTCGTTTTCCGACAGAGATTGCCAGATGAGTTCCAAATGACAATGCGGGAACGATGGCCAGATACAATCATTCGAGGTTTTAAACTACGACAATGTGATCCTCCTGAAAACGCGCGCCCACGTCGATGTGCACGACGCTAAATGCTTCACGACACGATAGATAGATAGATAGATAGATAGATAGATAGATAGATAGGGAGATAGATAGAGAGGGAGAGAGAGAGAGAGAGAGAGAGAGAGAGAGAGAGAGAGAGAGAATATGCTTGCCTTCAGTGTGAGTACGTATGTAAGTCCGACTGTGTGTTTGCTTGGAAACTGACATTTCCTATTGTCGTGACTTGCAGGGATTGCACTATGTAAAATTTGGTTTCCCTGGTGTACATCATGTTCTTCTTCTTATAATCCTCGATCTCTCATTTGAAGTTCATTTATTTCTTTTTACTATTGTATGTCATCGTAGCATTAGATGTGTGAAAAAAACGATTCTAATCCTCGCTCTCGCCACTGAAGTTCCAAAAAACTGACATAAGATACCATCACATGTGTGGAAAAAAAAAAAAAAAAGTCCTCTTCTCTCTCTCTGCCTACGGTTTACCGGGCAGTTCTGTTTGTGACGATATATATCACAATAATGTCTGACGATTTTTTTTCGGCACTCACACGCATAAAATCTCAAACACGCCCACACATGCATAAGAAGAGGGGAAGAGGTGACAGAGTCAAAACTGCACGCAGACAAGGATAAGCAGCGAAATTCAACCATGCACACATGGGGGAGGTCAGACAATGACTCTCACTCTCCGACAGACTCCCAACAAACAATCACAATAAAGAACTTCAACAAGATCACAATTCATATGATGCTGATGATGAGCCAACTCGAACGAATATCATAACAGAGTTTGTTCCAGTCCCTTGTTCCCCAATCGATTTCCCTCCTTCTACTAATAGAGTACATTAATCTAACCTACACCTATTACGGACTGACTAACCGACCAACACCGTTGCAGTTTTGGCCTCTCGGCCTGTAGCGAACCCGACTATAGGCTATTGAACCATCTATCACCTTAGGCCATTAGGGCCTGTCTGTCCTGGGGATAGTCCGGGCCTGCTATTTGCAGCAAGGGTACGTATAGGAAATTCGAAATACTGCTGGGCCTATATTTCCCATATTTACAGATATGGCCCTCACGAATTTTCCTCACAGGTTTGTCTCACGATTAGCCCTCAGTCGAACGAAAATACAAATGTAACCCTACGGGGTAGTATACAGCCTCGCCATTAGTCTTGGAAGTCAGACTGAGCAAAAATAGATATATATCGTCAAATAGAACTGCCCGGTAAACCGTAGGCAGAGAGGGAGAAGAGGACAACAAATGAGGGGCTGTGACAAACTGTTTCGTCAGAGTTTCACCGACTCATCAGGAGGCTGATATATATATATCGTCAAATAGAACTGCCCGGTAAACCGTAGGCAGAGAGGGAGAAGAGGACAACAAACGAGGGGCTGTGACAAACTGTTTCGTCGGAGTTTCACCGACTCATCAGGAGGCTGAACCCTATATACAAGTAAAGAGACGGACATCATGTAGCGTAACAAACAAGACACCATGAGATGTGTGTGAACAACGCCATGCTCAATGAAATTCGGATCACCAGACCGATGTCAGGTCAATGATAAAGCCATTCAACCAGTCAAACGCTGAACAACTCTATATCGTCACCCTCAGATTCAGAGCTCGATGTCTGGACCCAATCGTCGCATGCAGGCACCGCATCGTCCTCCACGTGCCCGATGATGAAAACACGGTTCTCCCCCACCGCCTCATGGTTGGAATCTGAGGCAGCAGCATCAACGACTTCCACTGTGTCGCCTCCACCGTTGACGAACAAATCACGCGGCAATGGCCCGACTCCATAAGGACAAACCTCCTGCCGCAGAAGCTCTCGAGCCCAGTCTGAAACATGAGCCGAACCGAACACTGATGCCGCCAATCTGTCCTCCCAACAGTCGATCGCCTCGTGACCGTAGTGTTGACGGAAGCCTGGTCTCGCACGTATGGAAGTGCCCGCAGCAATGCGAGCAACATACCCAACCGGGTCGCGCCAGCAGTGACTGTTCCACCGAATCACTGCGATCGACAAACGTGCTCAGAAAGACTTCTCGAAATGCACCGACTTCTTCGCATAGATAATGATGGTGCCCTGAAAAGTCTCCACCGCCGATGTGTGCCGAAACTCGACGTAGTACGGTGTGATGTTAGTGCTCGTAAACCGTGTCCGTGCGGCTATACAAAGGCAATCGTGCACGCCCACCGACCTTCTCGCACAGAACCTCCCTACCGTCCACACATCCCGAATGATCACCAGCCCAGTGATCGGCGACCAACATGATGTCGCGGTGTAGACTGTCGGTGTCTCCGCTGTCCTCCCTGCACAACTGGCAAGCGCGGAGGAACCACATCCCAACCTCATGCGCATGGTACTCTGTCAAGCCGTCTGGATTAGTCTCCAACGCTCGAGCATTCAACCTCGATCCGTAGGAGTACATCTTTCGCATGACGACAACGACGAAGGCTGATTTCTTCAGGTGCTCCTCAGCAGGTGTGAGGACGTCAGGTCCAAAATGCTGCTCCAATGCGTCCTTTAGCCGCTTCTTCGTGAACTGTATGAACTGCGGCTCTGATACACAGTCGTGCGGGCTGCTCACTTTCTTCGCTTCCTTCAGTTGCAACATACTGTGGAAGTGCTTTCGAATGTTTTTTATTTTGTGGTGGCAATCCTTCTGCCACTCGATGTTCATAGCTCGCAACTTCGGTCCCAGCGCCGCACAATCATCCGAGACAACGCAATGGATCTTCAACCCCTTGTCCATCAGCCCTCGCAAAAGTTGCACGACGGCTGGCACCTCAAGCGCATTCGATGCCTTGCCTTCAATCTTCGGACGGAGAGTGTGAACACCTACAACAAGCCGAGTCTCGTACTCCATCGCGGTGACAGTGCAATGCTGCACGCCTCTGGCAGAGTCATATCGACCATCAACCATCAATGTCACTGGCTCACCACGGCGCATCACATTGTCAATGGCAAGCTCTCAATATTTTATGCCCTACCGTACGACCTTGGCATTCCAACCCTCCGCCCCCCCCGGTTCTGTGCGCATAAATTTGTAGAATGTGGGTTTATGCACCGAGCACATCCCTAAACAAACACAAAAGTTGTCGAGGAGCGTGAACGTAAGGCCGGCGGTGACCGTGGCATGAAAGAGCTGCTGCATCAGTCGCGACTGATAGACGTTCGTGGTCACGAGTGCCGTGTGCCACGTCCATTTGCATTTCTTGTCGCATACGAACGTCAGCTTACAGAGCTGCGCAGGATAGGAGACGGACTCCACAGACACACGACACGAGCCCTTGTGCCACGGGCAATATAGATGAAACATGGCCAGCAATTGAAGAAGCTTAACCGGCTCCAGAAACACAACATCCGGCGTCGTCGGTCCACTCCATCTACCCATCGCCTCCTCAACATTGGCACGGTCAATTTCAGGGCTAGGACCGCACTGGTCAACACCGTCCCAAATATCCCACCACGTTTGCGGCCGACCAGGTGTTGGTCTGCAGCGACCCGCGCTGCGGGGTCTGTCGCGCCCTATGTCACTGCGCTGGGATGCACAACGCGATGACGGGAAGGAGTTCTGCGATCCGTCATGAGACTCACCCAACCCTCCGCTCGTTGAACCCTGCGAACCCCCCTGACCGTATTCAACACCGGAATCGCCTGGCATACAACGCAACGTGAAATCTCGACCGCACACCCGAGATGACAACGAAGAAGAAATCACATCTCCTACCTCGTTTTCAAACTCCGCTCGGATGGCAGGCAAGGACCAGTGCAGCAGCCGATCAATAACGTCGCTGACCGGTCCACGATGGTCACCCAGACCGGCCATAGCGTCGCGGAGAGCATACAACCGTCTCCGACACGCGTCCCGCACACACACTCGCACGATGTTGTTGCCGATCGAACACGGCGTGCCGTCGAGTGCCGCTGAGCCATCCACATCGTCAAACGGAGGTGTGGAATATGGATCGACAAAGGGAGCCTGAGGCGACAGCGCAAACGAACCCGCCGCCGTGTTGACGACTCGTCGACATGAAACAGGTGGAGAACGCAAAGCGTCGCTGCGATCTCCTGGAAGAGAACTGCCTCCAGCGGGACATGGCGGGGCCACCTCATGTGACCATACAAGTGCTAAAGGAATCGTGGCCGCATAGTCCAGCCGTCTAGGCAGCAATGGGGATGGCAGCAACGGAGCACCGTACACACCTCCAAACGTGGTCGCGTCACGAAACCCGGCCACACCCGGCGGAGATGCCCCCAACACACCGGCGAAAGGCGAAATGTGTCTCACGCCCGCGCCAACGACGCTGTCAGTCGCATGCGAAACGGTATCGCGGCGCCGTTTCCCCAAACGAACCTCCGGACCACCGCTGTGCGGTGAAACACCCAACAACCCCCGCGCTGCACATGGAGATCGATCGACGCTATGGCGAGAATCGGGGGTACCCTGCGGAGATCCCTGAATGGGCGATGATCGAGCGGGGACAGCATCTTCGCCTGTCGGTGACATTGTCAATGTCAGGGTGTGCACAGCACCGAGAGTCAGATAAGCACGAAGTAAGGACTCAACGGAAACGTGTGTGTGTGTGTGTGTGTGTGTGTGTGTGTGAGAGAGAGAGAGAGAGAGAGAGAAATTGGTTTATTGAATGATTGATTGATTGATTGGTTGATTGATTGATTGATTGTTGTTTTTCGGCTTTTATTAGAGAGAGAGAGAGAGAGAGAGAGAGAGAGAGAGAGAGAGAGAGAGAGCAGACACAGGCACACAGATCAATCAATCAATCAATCAATCAATCAATCAAAGAATCAAGCAATCAACCAATCAATCAAACAGTCCATTGATTGACTCAGAAGATTGATTGATTGATTGATTGATTGATTGCATGATTGATCGAATGATTGATTGATTGATTGATGCAAGGAAGATGAATATGGACGAAGCACAAAAATCCATATTGCAAAATCACAACGAAGTCCAAGTAGTCAAAGGTAGAGCAGATAGCACGATGGAACCGAGCAAGCACCCATTTCAGAATGATACAGAAGAATTGTGAGTGAAGGTCGGGCGAACAGGGCAACACCAACAGCACAACCCAATGTAGCTCTCTATTGTGAACGGCGCAAGGCGCCCTATCTACTCTACAGTGTAAACCTACAACTACAGTAATGAAAGCAACCTGACAACTTTATTACCAGCGAGTGATGATGTGAACACCAATGCCCACTTGTACCTCCACCAGGTACGTGTCCTCTTCACCGACACTCTCCATTGTTACCCACGGACGTGGCCTTCACCTCCGATGAACCACGTTCGCCCTCACCTCCCCTGCACCCTCAGGCAACCCGGATCAATCAATTAATCAATCAATCAATCAATCAACCAATCAATGACACAATCTATTGATTGATTGATTGATTGACTGATTGATTGAATGATTGATTGATTGAATTTTTTCTTTTATTATTATTATTATTATTATTATTTTTTCTTCTGGAGAGAGAGAAAGACAGAAAGAGAGAGAGAGAGAGAGAGAGAGAGAGAGAGAGAGAGAGAGAGAGAGAGAGAGAGAGCACAAAAACGCACACATATCAATCAATCAATCAATCAATCAATCAATCATTGAATCAAGCAATCAACCAATCAATCAATCACTTCATTCATAAAAGGCTTGATTGATTGATTGATTGATTGATTGATTGAATGATTGATTGATTGATT